TGTTACTCTGAGTGTATATCCACACCGGGCGAGCTTGAAAAATATGCCCGGCCACGGTGGGATTCGAACCTACGACCTTTGGAATACTAGCCGTCCTGGCCGCGTAGCTCAGTTGGAAGAGCATTGGGCTAGTATTCCAAAGGTCGTAGGTTCGAATCCCACCGTGGCCGGGCATATTTTTCAAGCTCGCCCGGTGTGGATATACACTCAGAGTAACACCACAAATAACTTAATACACTCTTTAGATAACTACGTCACACATACTTTTTGGTCTTGGAACCTCGCTCTCATTAGTAAATTACTGAACTTAGTAAATTGATTGGCTAACGATTCATGAGAGCGAGGCTCCCAGGCCAAATGACCATTATATCGAAAGGGTGTATTCTAAAGTGTACCGCTGGAAAATAATACCTGAACTGTCAAATTTAGTATCTCCTCTGTGACACCAAACGGAAATGTGATATTCAGTTCTGTATTGTCTCCATACTGCTTAAAAAAGGCATAATTTCTGTTTGTTGGTATCGAAATCTGATCAGACCTAACTCGTGTTGCAGCAATTAAGGTACAGGTTTCGTGTATGGTCGCTTTGGCAAATGGCAAATAATCATCCAAGATCTCTTTATTATACATTTCTTTTGGAACATCTAAAAAGTAAATAATTAATAATTTCAGAGAGGGGAAAAGAGGATTACTGAAAGAGAAGGGAAGGGTTGATTTTGACGAAACGCAGAAAATCATTACACAGAGGGCTTAATAAATTTTTCTCTCATTTTTGAGTGGTGGTGGTTATCATCGGGGCGCTTTTTTTTTCTTCACTAACGACCCAGAAATTTAAGTAGGACTCATGAAAATTTAGCCAATTAGTATATTCTAACAACACGGTTTAAAATTATCAATAATACCTTCAATGGAGCTTATTCGTTCTGTCTTTAACTCCTGCCATCCAGTCGGGCTAACATTTTCAACGATCAACTCATAAAAATACAGAAAATCCTGGTCCTCGTAGAGCGAGTGGGATAAAAGAACTGTCACAGGTTTCTTAAATTTCACGCCCTCTGGTTCAACTTTAAGGATCCGGCTTACGAATACTTCCCCGTCTCTTGGTTTCACTTCACATTCTTTATATTTCACTCGGCTACACTTTAGAGTTACTTTCTCCTCAACAGCATTTGGTGGAAATTGAAGGAAGGCACTTGCTACAGGGACATGAAAACATCCGCCTTCTTCATTAATAGTAATGCTAAAAGAACAACAGTAATGGAATGATTATATATATATGACAAATTTCGAAAAATGGGCTGCTTATTAAATGTTTACAGTCGGAAACGTGCATTCTCTAGCATTTCGTGCAGGCCTTAAAATATCGGTCGGTCACGGACATTGTCCGACCCATTCGTGAAATTGTCCGACGTAGAAAGGAAACCACTGGACATTCTGTCCGACCAAAGTGAAACTGAGGTTTATTGTTTGTCCGACCCGAGTGTAGTGGTATCCGACCGAACTGTAGCTTTGTCCGACGTAAATCAAAATGTACCCTAGCCCAGGACTAGAGGCTTGTATGTTAAATGGAAAATCAGAGTACTATTGTATGAAAGGTCAACTGGAAATGTTATTTTAGCGTAGTCGAGCGCGGGGCGGCGAGCGAAATGGTGAAGTGGAAAACAGGCTTAAGTTGTTTATAATACTGCTGTTCTGGAAAGCAAGTTAATTTTGGCTTGGAAATAAGTATGAAAGAAACAAATTATTTAATATCTTTACAACATTTACCGTTTATTCA